TCCCTGAATTAAAATCCTACTACACTGCCGTGGTAGTCAAGACAGCATGGTACTGGTACAATGACAGACACATAGATCAATGGAATAGAATTGAGAACCTGGAAATCAGCCCATCTATTTATGGTCAACTGATTTTTGACAAGGAAATGCCAAGTTTTATCATGCACTCGAATCTTGTGATAAATCAATATTTAAAAATGCCAAAGCCAAAAGTAATAACACATGGTATTAGTTCAATGACAAACTGGACTATGAATGCAGCGATGGGTATGAAAGCAGAGGTAGAAATACCACAGGCTCTATAGTGTGTGGTATTGATGGTTGGTCTGATACACCTACATGTTATGGTAAGTTCTAGCCTGTTTTCATTTGGTAGTAATCTCTCTGAGATGATATAATCAGTTTATGTTCCTTTTGTGGTATGCTTTAATTATCTAGAGATATTGTGAAAGAACAATGATAAAAATCAATGCCTTCTGATTTAATGTTCACTGGAAAGGGGTTATTTTTGAAACTGAAAGATAATAACCAATTTATAAAAAAATATATCAAAGCATTATCTCCTGTTATACACACATTATAGATTTTCCACTCATGTATGTATTATTTTAAATTACATTTAAAAATTGCTTAACTTTAGACACTCTTAACAACTTACTATATTATGCATAAACTCTTCAGCTCTTTCAATACTGCATTTTTTTAATCATGCATCTTCCCAAACTTTAGTGTTCATATATTGAACTCCTTCCAGCTATACCTCAATTTTAAATATCACAATCTCTGTACTATTTTGAAAACCTTTTATATGTTTACAAAACAGATAGCTGTTTCCAGAGCTGAAAAATATCCATTATCCCCTAGCTGTTAATTCTAGTATATGACATTGTGGTCTGAGAAAATATGTTTTATTTTATAATTGTTCTTATTTTAGTTTGCTGACGTTGCTTTGTGTCCTAGTATATGGAGGAGGTGCTATGTGTAGTTGAGAAGAAAGTAGTTTGAGTTTTAGTGGGTGACGTCTATGAGGTGAGTTGGGTAATTGTATAGTTAGTTCTTCTGCATCTTTCTTGATTTTCTTTCTAGTTGTCTTGTCCTTTGGTGAGAGTGGTGTGTTAAAGTCCCCAACTACTATTGTGGTGCTATCATTTTCTTCCTTCAATTCTTTGATTTTTGTCTTTGACTGTGTTTGGTGGAGCTCCCAGTTTCAGACAGGTTTGGAAGCAGAAGTGGCATAAACTTCCAAAACATGCCTCTCAAAACTCTTTGAACTTTGATAAATGACAATAGTTATAGAAAGGTTTCAGTCTTTTCTTTATAGGGTCACTATGAGTCATGATTAACTTGACATCAGTTAACAATAACAACGACAAATGTTGATGTATAATCCATATCGATGACTGTAGTCCTTTATCTTCTGCAACCAGTATTTTAAGTCCTTTTCCCTTCCAGCAAGCAGGATTGTTTCATCTGCACAACACAGGTTGTTGATAACCTTAATTCCAATCCTAATGCCATATTTCTTTTCATAGAATCCAGATCCATTACTTATTTGTGCAGCAAACAGACTGAATAGATAAAGAGAAAGGATACAACCCTGACTTACACCTTTCCTAATTTTATAGGATGCAATGTTCCCCTGTTCTCTTTGATCAACAGCGTCTTGCTATCGATACAGCTTTCATACGAGCACAATTTAGTTTTCCTACTTTTCTCAATCTCTTGGGATCCTCCATCACCTTCGTGAATCACTGCACTTAATCTGAACCTGAATCCTAAGCCCTGATCCAAAGAAAATACTACCAGCTAAGGAAGCAAAAGTGGATGGATCCTCAAAGTTCATCCAGCCACTCCCACTGGTCTCAGCCTCTAAAACATCTTGCACTCCAGAGGGCAGAAAATACCATCAAAGTATCTTGTAACTGAACAAGAAGGTGTGCAGCTTCAATTAAGGACCACCGATAAAGTGTTAGTATGAAGCAGACAAATTCTGCAACATTATATGGCAAACCCATAGGATATATCACCCACCTCTGGGAAACTATTCCATTGTAACTACAGTGTAGTATAAATGGAGGAAAAGTGGCCCTAAGCCATAATAAGTCATTCTTGGATCAGAAGTTCAAGTCTCCTAAACTCAAGAGATACTATCCACAGCAGAAGAAACTGGCAGCAGCTTGAGACATTCGGAATCACAGAGCCCTGGAAGATTAAGATATAAGGTATCAAATCAAGAGTTGGATAGGGGAGTTAGGTGCTGAATGGAGTAGGTGGGAGTACAGGGAATGCTGTTCGAGCTAAGAAAGGCGTGTGTCAAGACACATGAGCCAATGGCAGGGATAACACTGAATTATTGGTTATTTCTACAATTATGAAATATCTTTAATATGCTCTTTTGCATAAAAAGCTTATCTGTCAGATAATGTTCTAAATCTGAGCTTTCAAATTAAGACAGACAAGAAAGAAGTAATGGCTAATAGGGTGTCAGGTGACCAGATTGAGTGCATATTTAAAAAGGCTTTTGGGCCCTTTGGCCGACATTTGTGGATCTCCCAAATAAAATAAGCTTGAAAGCAGGCTTAGAATGGAATTCACTTCCAAAAATGCCTGCCTCCAGAACTCTATGAACTTGATGGAAAGATACAAGTTTTGCATTCAAGACTTTGGTTCATAAGGTCATCTACAACTCTACGGTACTTAACAACAATAACAATAACAGCAAAAAGAAATGCATTGGGATAGTAAAGAAACCATTCATCAAGTTAAAATTAAAATTAGTAAAATATTTTCTGTAATATTTGTTATCTGAGTATGAAGGAATATTTCAGAACTACAGATTCTTTAAATTGCCTTCTTGGATAAAAGAAAACCAAATTTCTTCTATCAAGGTAGATTTGGAAAGACAGCGCTCTGATCTCTGTTAAACATGAGATAGAACAAAAAGAAGAGACAGAAAAGTTGAGTGGTCAACTTAGCTTCTCAGTCTTTTAACCTTCATTTAAAATGTTGGAACATAATCAGAACTTGTGTAACTCAAGGATACAATATAAAATGGATCTATGCCGTTTTCTTCTTGGAGAGCCTTCCTATAATTTTGTATATTGTTGTTGTTATTTTTGTTAGGTGTCATCAAGTGTGGACCCTATGAACAACAGATCTGAATCTCACTTTATCCTGTGCCATCCTCACAATCTCTGATACGCTTGAGCCCCTTGTTACAGATACACAAAGTATGTTCCGTAAATATCATCCTCTTTAGCAAAGTCTTCCTCCAGTACTTGATTCCTTTGCCTTCTATAACTTAACTTGTTTTCGGTGAGTTTAGAGGAATGAATATAATTATGGTAATAATAGGATATAGTTTACCAATAAAAGATTTCAATATCATTTAATAATTTACTAAGAGAAAATATTCATCCTTTTTGTATTTTTTCCCAAGTGAAACCTTGTGATTTTCCAGAAATAAAACATGGATATATGCATAATGGAGATAGATATAGACCATATTTTCCAGTAGCGATAGGAAAATATTACTACTACAGCTGCCATCATGGTTTTGAAACTCCTTCACAAAGTTCATGGGATTATATAACATGCACAAAAGATGGATGGTCGCCAAAAGTCCCATGCCGCAGTAAGTAAGCCTCTCTAAAATGATATCTACTTATCTTTCAAAGAAGAGCAAAGAAGTGAGGATGATTGCATCTCTACCCTAAAACAGGTCATTAGGAAGAATGTTATCTGGAAAAAGTCACAAATAGATTTGTTCCCCTGTGAAGAGCTATTTATTAAAATAAAATAAAAAGTAAAGATAGAAACTTTCTGAGAACATCTCCCAGCTTTATTTTGTACATGATTTAATTAGAACCATTAAGAGAAATCCCATCAAATAATGAATATTTCTCTATCAACTAGCATTTGGTAGTAGTATAACTTTTTATATTTTAATTTGTACATTCTTTTTTAGAGTCATACACATTTTATGTTAAATGTAACAAAAGTATTTTTTTAACTTCATTAGTTTGACCAAATTAGCGTTTTTCATTTATTGTGTTTATGATCCTTAGGAAAATGCTATTTGTATTATGTGGAAAACGGATCTTTTCAGAATTCAAGAAACTATTTCTTTGAGGGTGATTCTGTAAATGTTTTGTGCAATCGTGACTACAGTCTTCCGAATGAACAGAACACTATTACATGTACAGAACAGGGTTGGTCCCCATCTCCCAAATGCATCCGTGTCAGTAAGTAAGATCCCAGAAGGGTTGCAATTTTATAAGGCCGGTATATATTTGTCATGGGAAAGTGCAAGTGTTAACTTCTTCTTTTGCAAGTGGAAACGATTTAGATTTTTATGCAACTGAGTTTAAATGTGTGTTCAAATTTCTTGATATATTAATAAGGATATAGCAACATTTAATTTCTTATGAAATATTAGCTTCATTGCCATTGTTATGGAACCAATTCATAGCCAACCTTCCAGTGGGATTTCAAAGGCTGTAAATTGCACAGGAGGAGATTACTCATCTTCCTCAGAGGGGCTGGTGGACTTAAATAAACCAACTAGACATCACAGCTTCCTACTAATGTCACTGTACTCTTTTAAATATTGCTAATATTTTAAATTTTAAAAAATCTGGAGATCAACTCACATCCTTTCACATTTGTATATTTTTTTTTCCCTACTTTCTAAGGGCCTTTGCACTGTCAAATACATTTTAATTCTATTTAGTAAATTATTTCAAAAAATGTGAATAGATTTATATTGGAATTATCTTTCCTGTACAGGTTGCTTTTGGAGGACAGGAATAGCTTTAATTTGAGCCTTCCTACTGATGCTATCTATATATCTAAAATTTATTACTCCATGTGAATTTCTGTGATTTGTTTTCTAATAGAAATTTTCTCATGATAATATGTTACTGTAGGTGATCTTCTGTTAGAACATACTGATAAAAGACCAGAGGAGGGGACAGTAGCAGAGAGCATTTTAGGTTAGTAGTGAAACTCCTTTAAGACTAATGCACCAGGACTTAACTATTATAAATTGTTTTTTGTAGATAAAATCTTTATTATTACTCATTTAAGCTTTCAGAATGCTCTTTGGTGATTTGAAAACTCAAAAGATTAGTCAGAAAAAAAATTAGTCAGTATTAATGCTATCATTCATGCTTATAGTTTGAAATGAGTTTTTATTTGCTTACTTTTTAATTTCTTTAAGAATAATGCTCCACTTCTCTTAATTTTTCTGTTCTTTCTATCTGCAATTTCCATATGTGTCTTAATACTTTCAGGAAGTTTTCCTTTTTCTCTTCTTTAATTTTTCACAATTCACAGCCTTCAAAGAGATTGCTTCAGATTTCTATTCTTAAAGATATTAAAGCTAAGCATTTTAAGAAGTTGTATTTAAACTGTTTGTATACTATTTGATGGTTACTTTGTATTTACTTTTTCTGCAAGTTAGTATATAAAATAGCTTCTGTAAGTCTTTAAAACATGAAATCTTTTTTTTGTTTTAAAAATTTCTATTGGGTTGTATACAATAATTTGTTTACATTGTTTCATTTATGTACATTTTTTTCCTCTCCCTCCCTTGACTCACCAAACTCTATGGCCAGGTTATTCCCCCTCTACACATACAAACACACACACACACACACACACACACACACACACACACACACACAGAGTCTTAAGCCTCCTCACGTTCCCTCCCTTTCCCTCTTTGCATATCAAGAATAAGATTTTTATATATGTGAATGATCTAAATAAATCATTACTATCAAGGTGGAAATGATCCATAGCTGACTCTCCAGTGTGTTTTTGAAACTGCAAATCACACAAGAGCAGATTGCCTACTTTTAGTCTAAGAAATTTCTGGTGGATTCAAACCTTCAGAAGGCACTTTCTTTGGGTTAGCAGCACAGATCCCTATAGACTACACCACACTGATGATAAATGACTTTTATTTAATATGTCTTAGTTTACGTATTTTTTAAATGCATTATGGAATCACAATGAAAACAAGTAAATGTTATTTATTTTAAATGTATAATTTGCTATATTTTTTATTTATGTGTCTATACCCCCTGTGAAATGGCAAACCATGTAGTGAACTTAGCTATCACCTCCAGAAATCACTTTATGTCTTTTGGGATCCTTCTTGCCTGAACTATCCAATTGTCCCTGCTCAAACACTTATCTGCTTCTCTTGGTTTTAAATTTGGTTCTATTTTTTAAAATATTTATTGTATTATTTTTACGTGTACCGTCAAATCAGATCTGACTGGTACAGGAGGAGATTGCCCCCTCCTTCTCCAGCAGAGCATCTGGTGGATTTGAACCGTGTACCTCTGGGATTGCAGTGCAGTGCACTAGGCCACTAGGCCACCAGAGCTCCCTAAATTTGGTTCTATTTTTTATAAGTTATATCTTCATCAGGATCATCAAAAGAAATAGAAGACAGAGAGAGTGTGAGGCAGAGAGAAATGGAGAAAGTCTTATTTGAAAGAATTGTCTTACATAATTGTGGGATTGTTGAGATTTAGCAGATCCAGGAGATGTACCTTAGGTGACAGGGTGGAGGCATGCAGGTTGGGATCTCCAAATTTGCATATCACGTAACAGGAAGAGTGAAGAGTGTTGTTCTGGCTAAATAGCTATAGCTTTGTAATAGACACACTGTATATGTGTGTGTGTGTGTGTGTTTGTATATATATATATATGTGTGTGTGTATGTGTGTATGTATATATGTGTGTGTGTGTGTGTGTATGAATATATACGTATATATACAAACATAAATATAGGGATCTCTGGTGGCCTGTGGTAAGAAGCTGCACTTTGATCCCCAGGGCATGTGGTTCTAATTCATCAGCTCCTCTGTTGGAGAAGGATGGGCAATCTCTTCCTGAGTAATTAACTGCCCCTGAAAGCTGCTGGAAGGTTAATTTTGGATCGGTTCTGACTCCATAGTACACAACAACAATAACAACATAAGTGTGTGTGTGTGTGTGTGTGTGTGTGTATTGTTGCAGAGGCTATAAATTGCATAAAAAGAGACTGCCAGTCTTGTTCCTGTGGACATAAAGATGGATTCTTTGAGTAGGCCACACCACTCCATACCCACTAATTACAAGTTATCTAAAACATAAATTTCTTCCATATGTGTGTATGTATCACAGTCATATCTGTGTAGTTTTCAGAAATGTTATTTCATTTGTTTTTTAAAAAGAACTATTTTCTTCTCATTTCTCATCTCTTAAACTTTCTTAGCATTTTATATGCATAATCTTTCATATCACTCAGCATAATTTTTCTAATTTCACCCATGTTGTACAGTATTTCAAAAATTCAGGATGATTTCTAACAATGCGCGTTATACTGTATTGTTTGCATGTATTGACATTGCTTTAGCAATTTGTCTGTTGATGGGAACTTGCTTGAGTTACAATTCTTTGTTGTTATATTATTATAAGTAGTACTAGTATAAATAGTATTGCGATAAAGATGACATGATTATGTTAGTTTCTGTAGTAGCTCTTTTTCCTTTGGAATATATATCTAGTACTGAGATTGATAGATCAAATAAAATTTCTTATTCTTAATTTCTGAGAAAGCATCAAATTCTTCAGTAAATGGCTGCATGATTTTACCTTCCTTTCAACACTGTGTAAGAGTTATAATCTCTCCACATTTTGCCAGTATTTGTTATTACATGTCTTATTGAACATTGCTATTTTTGCTAGGGTAAGACAATAGATCCTCATTGTTTTGATTTGCATCTCTCTGATGGCTACTGATCTTGAACATTTTATCATGTGTTGTTGGCCAACTGAATGTCTGCTTCAGTAAAATGTCTATTTACATTCTCCATCCATTTTGTAATTGGATTATTTCTCTAATTCTGTAAATATATCGGACTTTTCTATAAATTGGCAAGATTAGTTCCTTGTCAGACGAATCATTGCCAAATGTTTCCCCCAGTCTGTTAACCTTTTAAGATCAATGACAAATGTGTGTTAACTGTTTATGTAATTAAATTTACTGCTTGCTAATTGTATTGGGAAATTCTGCTGTCAGAGACCTCTCCAAAGTACTGAAGCAACAATGTCAGTCTGTAGAAAGGTGCTCCTGATCCAGGCCATGGTCTTTGCAATTACTGATGCTATGCATCAGAGGGCTGGACAATGACTAGGGGTGCTAGAAGGACAGTTGATTCCTTTGAGCTGTGGTGCTGGAGAAGAGTATTGAATATACCATGGACTGCTAGGAGAACAAACAAGTTCCTCTGGAGAGGGGGAAGCCAGGCTGCTCCATGGAGACAGGATTCTGAAGTTTCATCTAACATAAATTGGACATGTTGCAATATGGGATCAATCTTTGGTGAGGGACGTCATGCTTAGGAGGTTGGAGGGACAGTGCAGTAGCGAAAGACCTTCGGTGAGGTGGATTTATTCTGTCATTGAGCTAATGGTCATAGGCGTGTCCGAGGCAGTAAGATTGGCCTGGGATAGAGCAGGGTTTAGGCCTACTGTATATAGGGTCGCTATGAATTGCAGGCAATTCAACGGCACATAACAACAACAACAATATCAGTGTCATATTTTTGTAGTTCTCTCAGATGCATAACAAGT